GCGGAAGCCGAGTACGAGTAGCAGTAGTAGTAGCAGTAGTAGTAGTAGCAGCAGCAGGAGCAGGAGCAGGAGCAGGAGCAGTAGTAGTAGTAGTAGTAGCAGCAGCAGCAGCAGCAGCACTAGCAGCAGCAATCGTCCACGTCCCGGGCGTTGTCCCAATCCTGATCTTCATCTTTGTCCCTGTCCTTGCAAGCGTTTGCCACTTTCACCTCCGCCTCCTCGGCAACATCTTGGTCGTGATCGTGGTCATGGTCATGGTCAAGGTCCTGTTCATGTTTGTGGCCGTGGTGATCATCGTCATCATCATCATCATCATCATCATCATCATCATCGCCTGTCAAGCGCAAAAAACCAAACCGATCAGCTGCTGCATCCGAGAAAATAGAAGCGGCTGAGCAGCTACCCCCAAAACATTGATCCTTGAAATAGCCGGATGGTCGAAAAAATCCACTTGGGCAAAGTCCCTGCCGGTATCGTTGCCATGGCACATGCTCGTCCGCGTGCCGTGGGGTTGGACCAAAGACGTCGTCGGCGTCATCGGTGCCGCCTACCTGGCTGACGCTATGTTGCAAAAAAGTCTCGGCTTCACTAGGTAGGTATGTTGTGAAATCCTAGTGCTATCATAACAGTAATTCTAAGAGGCTAGACAGGTATTTCCTTCTTATAACTCGAGTTTGGGCCTACCTAGAGGCTCCACAGCAAGGGTGTGGAGGGTGTTCACGGGTGCTTCCGGGGCCCTAAACCCTAAACCCTAAACCCGCTTGAGCGGAAGTAGCAGGACCTGCCAAGCTGTTGGTGTTTTTGGTCGTCCACGCGGTACACATGCATCACCGGATTGACATACCTTTAGGGTTTAGGGCTTAACGTTCGGGGTCTTTGGTTGTTAACTTGGATGTTCCAGATAAAGCTAGACAAGTTGAGTTTAGTCTTGTATGGTTGAGGTTCTGAGCCCTGTCTTGGCTTCCGGCTTGTTTGGCTTTGGCTGTCAAGGTTGTAGTGCTCATTTCTTATAAAGCAGAAGACCCCGGCTGCAGGCCCTAATTATCTGGAGTGCTGTTAAGATTTTTTAATGCTATAAAAAGGAAAATTTCATACGATTTATTCTATACCCATAAATATGGTACCACGGGTTAAGTTCCTTAGCAACAGACTAGTTATATCTCAAAGCTTGGAAATCTTGGCCACGCAGCGCTAGCAGCGCCCCAAAGCAGACTTGCATTTACTTCCTCTTGAGGATCTATCACTCAATCTGTCACCCTGAAGCCCGAAAGCCAAAGAAAACATCTTATGAGTTCTCTTCACACCGACGCACCCTGTACTACGCAGTGGGCAGGTGGTCACAAACCTTAAATCTAAACCCTAATCCCTAGAGTCCTCAAGTTTCCAAGTCATGTTTTCTTTTCTTGGCCATTTGATCCTCCCTAACTTGGGTGAATCCCTGCTATACTTTCTACAGGGCATATGAGCCCCATATAGGACCGCAAGGTCCCAAGTAGCAGCTCGGTAGCTCACATGTGCGAATTTCTCAGAAGGAGCTCCACATGAGCTCCTGAAGGCCCACTTCTTAAAATGGAAGCTGCCCTTCTTGTTGTATGGGTTGTGGTATTTTGGTAGCATCAACTCTTGGAAGAAGGACATCGACTGTCATTGTCATGTAGGTGAAATACGCAGTCGGCCACCAAGACCCGTCAACAGGGCTTTATTGTACATGGGGATTCTCAGGGATTATGTAAGCCATTGTCTAAACTTCTAGTATCCCCCTTAATAACCCCTATAATAGTCCCCTATATAATCCCCCATATAGCCCCCCTTTAAGGAGTTTAGAAGTTCCAACTTTGCAAAATCTGCCAGCCGGCAGACCCTACACGCCTCATGCGAACCCATTACCAAACCCCAAGACCTCCAAACCACTTAACCCCTGAACCCTTGAAACCCAAACCATCCAAGACCCCGAGCTCCAAACCCCAGAACCCGAAACCCCAAACCACCAAAATCTCAAAATTGCCTAAGTGGAACTCTGTAGTCCCCATGTGATAATACCGTATACCTCTACTTGTACTCACGCCCCACTCCCTTTCGCACTCCCCCCCCCCAAAGTGACATTTAAAATCCAAGGCTCAACCCCTAAACCCTCAGTTTTAAAGCCCTACACCCTAATCTTTAAGCCCTAAGCTCTAAACTTCAAGCCACAAACCCTAAACCTTAAGCCGTAAACCCTAAACTTTAAGCCCTGAACCTTAAACTGTAAGCCCTAACCCTCAACTTTAAGCCCCAAACCCTAAACATGCAGGCCTGGGCGGTCGTCACCCCACCGCCAGCCCGGGGAGCAGGCACTGTGGCCTCCTGTTCAAGCTCTTCGGCGATGAGTGAAGTGTCAGGCTTGGGGCGGAGGATTCAGGGTTTAGGGTCTACCTGGACCCCAAAAGCAAAATAATGGCACAAAACACCTAAAAACAGCCCGAATGGCTATTATTCTGCATACTGTTGGGGTTCAGGTAGGGCCTAGGGTCTATTACTTGCATGGCGTGCAAGTCTACTGACCAGTTAATGGGGGTCTTTGTTTGGAATGTTGGTGAAGGCTATACTGAACTACCTTTTACTCAAAACTATGTGCCCCCTATGTAATCTCAGCTAATATTGAAAGTACGCCATGCAGGAGCTTTCAAACTATGATCGCGACCTTAAAGTGTAGGGTTTAGGATTTAGGGTAGATTCTTTTGCGGGTGCCATCACGGGTGGGTCGCGTCGGGGGTTTGAGATTTGGGGTTCGGAGGGCATTGTGGTTCATGAAAAAGGGGGCACCCAAGGGATCCTTTTCAACAGCGGGATACCGTAAAAATAGCCGCTACCAAGGCAGCAGGCTTGCGTAGGAATCATTCGTTGGGACTAGCGCAATAGTAATCAAACAGATTTCCTGTTCCCGCAGTGGCTGTTATGGACAACAATTTCCCCTATATGTTGGCTTAGACCTAGCGGATCCCCAAACAATACCTGTAGGATCCCCAAACAATTCTCCTAATGCAAATCAACACCTGCATGACCCAAGAACGACTTCCCTTTGTAAATGGTTAGGACCATTCTATCAGGACGGGCTTTCGGTCCCTTCTTCACAAGGATCTTGATAACAACATCTACTGCCATATACCCTAAGCCCTAAACCCTAAACTCTAAACCCTGAACCTAAACCTCAGTCCATAGGTATCTCTCTATCACTGCCCCTATAAAACCCATTTTTAAAGGACCTGACTCCTCATTCTGGGAGTGTGGTTTCCTTAGGAGGCAGAGCTACGACCGAGCAGTTCTCATCAGAGAAGCTCTTGGCTTTTAGGTTTAGGGCTTAGGGCTTCGGGCTTAGGGTTTAGGGCTTAGGGTTTAGGGCTTAGGTTTTAGAGCTAAGGGTTTAGGGTTTAGGGATCAGGGTTTAGGGCTGGGGGTTTAAGGCTTAGGAATTAGGTCTTGGGGTTAGGGTTTAGTGTAGGGTTCTGCCCCCACTCATTAAGAGTCTAGAATAGGTGCCATATTTAAAGCTATATTTTGAAATTATCCAACTGTTCCTGAATGGGGGCAGTACCCAAGTTTAGGGTTTCACTTGGAAATTCAGGGAATTTAGAACCCAATGCTATGGGATTGAATTGGGGCTAGACTAGACAAGTTTTACATAAGGCCTGTATAGGGCATTTAGGGGGTACGGTGATGGTAACCCGGCTGTCACTGGTACCTATAACCCAAGTATATCCAGTTTGGGGGACAAAAAGCGATCTTGAAACTGGGTTATAAGTACAGTGCTCGAAACTGCACCTGAAGAAGCAAAGTCGGGAACACAAAGCTGAAACAATATCCGTCGCAACCCCTAAAATTAAACGTTCCCCTTTGATGATATACTGTAGTATAACGGGACTGCTTCATATTGTGGTGGTGAGGGGGTTTTGATATTCGTGGGCGGGAATTACTTGCAAATCTTCGTCCATGAGCACGGAATCCAGGGCACTGTAAGCGGATCGCAGGGGCACCTCTCTAGGGTGTACAGCTTGCATGGGGCCCCTCTGTAGTTTTTGGTACACATGACAACCCACTCTACGAATTAGCGGCCCCCATACCACCGCCTCCCCAAAATCCAGATTGGTTAGGGCTAGCTCAGAGAGCCTTAGCGGGTCTAGGGATGCATACATCCTCGCAAGAGGGTTTATGGGTTAGGGAAGGCCCGACCTGCAACCCTGTGGCACTCGAGAAAGTGCTCCCGCGATCGAATTTAAGCCTTCACCCTGTGAACCGAGATCCTACTAAACCCAGCACCATGAGCCTAATTCCTGAAGCCTAGCTCTAAAAACTAAATCCTAAATGGTAGTTTCCCAAAATAGGGGGACCCCAATATAGATCCCAAAATACTATAATCCTTACTATTGGGACCCCCAAAATGGTACCCCTAATTTTGGGAAATCCCCAAATCAATCCTAAGCACTAAATCCTGAACACCAAACCCCTCTCAGTAGCTTCGCGCCGTCCTCGATCTCCTCCAGAAGGGCATCTGCCTCTTGCTGCAGAGTCGGCGACAGGGGCGCCTGGGAGCAGCATTTGTGCAAGAGCTCAGGAAATTTGGGGCTTCTGGTTCCCTGTAGAGTAGAGTGAAAAATACCTGTATATTCATTGTGGGGCTTTAGTATGATGAGAACGAAAAATTATGTCAAATGATAAAATTGCTGATTGGGTTTCATTTAATTGGAAGTAACACAGAAATCCGACAATGACCCAGGTTTAGAGGCGAGTGCTTTGGGCTGAGGTTTGGTGATCGAGGTTTAGGGGTTGGGGTTTCAGGCTGAAGGAGGTTTGCGAGCGGGTCTTTGAAGGGGTCTTGGGTTTCGATACTTCATGGACTAATGGGACGTTTATGGGACTTCGGAACTATATATAACTGGGCGTGTAACCCTACTTGTAGTTGGGGGTAACCCCTCGAAGGCCAGTTAGGGGTATTATAAGTAGGGTTATGAGCGCAATTATACGTACTTACTGGTACTCAGTCCCATGCACCTCCAAGTAGGTATGATGTCGGAGGTTGGTTTGAGGAGTTTAGTTAATTCATGGGACCAAATACTGATAATGCATACGATTAGTGCGATATCCTTATGTACGAAGCTGTGTGAGATTTCTATTGCGAAAGATTAGAAAGATGCTATCGTATGTCCCCGTATATTGTATGATACTACATGATACTATAGTGGAGAAGGCGTGGGAATGTCAGATGCATGGGCACTAGTTTTCACACAGTGAGCCAATGAGGTGTAGGAATTCATGCGTGACAACCGCAAAGTGTGGGGGTTTTGGGTAGGTTAGGATTTTGACCTAGGGTAAACAGAATCGAACTAGGAGGGTGAGTGCTCTTTGATTTCTTGGGTTTGTATCCTTATTATGGTCATGAAAAATCCTAGCCTGGTTTTGGGCATGTACACCTAAAGCGTATCAATTGTACGGAAACGCTTTGGAGTTGGAGGCCCCTGACTGGTCTTCTATAGGCTGCATCGCTATCCTCACTTACATAGTTCCCTTGTTACAGGGACCCCCCAAAAAGGTTCCCCCTTATTTTGTGAAGCCCCAATATGAAGTCCATGAATCTCCAACCATAATTGACTCAAGTTGGGTTTGGGTTTAGAGCTTAGGGTTTAGGGTTCAGGGTTTAGGATCTGTGTTTTAATTTTAATCGGTTCGAGGCCAAGTGCTATTATGGCTGCTGGTTGCTAGCAAAGAACGGAATGAACAAGAAAGTGGAAACTACCCAAATGGCTGGAGGTCCTATGGGAACTACTCCCGGGATCCATGTCTCCTTCTCTCCTGAGAAGCACTAGGTATAGGCCTTACCTGGACGCGAAAAGTATGTAAAATAATTGCTTTTTGTGCTGTTTTCATGGGTCTTGGGCTATCAGCTTACCTTCTTTGACCCTAATCCCTGACCGTAATCCCCGAAACCCTAAACCATGTGGGATCCAGGTACGGTTACACCTCGAACAACCAAAGCTTCCGCGAACCGGTGCTCCAACAGTCGAATCCTGGGCCCTAGACCCTAAACCCTAAACCCACAACTCCTGGGCCCTAGACAATCCTAAACCCCGAAATCCATGAGCCTGAGCCGTCAGGCCCCACACTTCTAAATCTGAAGAATCCCACATAGAGTTTAGGCTTCAGGGAGTCCCCCCATTTTGGGACACTACCAAATGCCCCACATACCATAAATCTTTCCCTAGTACCTAAGGTCCTACACACTGAAGGCAAATCACGCCAAACCCCTAAACCCTAAACCCCAAAACCCTAAACCCGAAAACCCCTAAAATCCTAAACCCCTAAACCCCTAAAACCCCTAAACCCCTAAAACCCCTAAACCCCCCTAATTGCCAGGGTGCCATTCCATGGTGGGGCTCCTTGGCCAAAATCGGGCTTGAAGCCGCAGCCTGGACTTTGCTTTTGTCGGCTGCAGGGTCAGGGGGTTTAGGGGTTTAGGGTTTGGGGGGGTTTAGGGTTTAAACTTCTTAAAGGTGGATTATATAGGGGGTTTTATGTCGGGGGCTAATATAGGGATTATCAAGGGGGATACTAGGGGTTGTCCTCAAAATTAGGGGGCCCTTTTTGTGATAAATTATAGTACGACACCTAATACCCAATATTCAGGGGTACCGACATGGGACCCTAATTTGGAGAACTACCCAAGTGATGAAGTTTGGGAGGTTGAGGATCTAGTGTTCAAGGTCTCTAGGCTCCAGACTGTGTAAAGAAGTCAGAAAGCTACACTCGTCTGCCACTGACTGACGCTCGCTACTGCCGACTTGGAACTATCCTCGTGCTCAGGCTTGACTTCCTGAGGGCCAGGAGGAGTGATGGGCAACAATTTGCACCCTGATCCAAAAACCTGGAAGCCCAAACCCGAAACCCTGAAGCCCATATGAACTTACCATTACTTAGGGTTCCCAAATCTCCTTAATCTCAAAATTTCAAAATCTCAAAATTTCATGAAAACCACACCACCACCCACCCACCCGCCGTCCCCCCAAAAAAACAACTAAGCGAAGGTAATAAAACGCGGTAGCATACTGCAATCTCATCTTCAAGGCCATTCGGGCAAGACCCCACTGAATCCAGATTTAGGGTTTCGGGTTTAGGGTTTATGGTAGCGCTGTCCCAGACCCCTGGAAATATATAGAAAGTAGAGCCCTCGATATGGTACCATATGTTAGTATTGGGCAATTTCTAGAATTTCTAGGAACCCTTAAGGGGGATCTACTTTATCCGCCCAGGGGTCTGGGGTCTTTCTTACTACTGCGAGGTTACTATTACTAAGCCCTGAACCCTGAAACATTGTTTCTATTGCTATTACTTCATGATCCTGAAGCTGAAAAAGCGTTGTGCTGAATCACATCAACGCCTCACTAGTTAAAAACGACACGAGCAGAACAGCCCGAAAACAAAACTGAACCGATTTTGACCCTGGGCCCCAAAAAGGAATCAGAAACCTGAGTTAACCGCCACGATACTGTACAGCACTAAGCCATGCACTCTGCATAGCATAACCTGCTAAATCTTTCAAAAAATTCTTGAACGCTGCACACCGACTCGCAGTACTGCAAAACATGCCTCGCGCTCTGCGGGCGGTGGTGGCGGTGCTGCCTGCTGCGCGGATGCCTGCTGCCAGAGAATTTGAGGTGCCGTAATAGCAATGCAGCACTGACACTAGTTGACTTACATTAAGTTGCCATAATGGGTATACATAGTCATTAGTATGGTTTCCCAATATAGTAACTTAAGCTAAGCAACCCAGTGGTTGTGCACTAGTGGTTGCTGGTGGATGTAGTGAAAATACTATATCCCCAATATAACCCCTATATAACCCTAGTTTCNNCAAATAAAATACTACTCAAGTGATCCCTGACTTTGGTCGTGGCCGGGTGGGGGCGCAGGCAGAAGACCGCCAAGAATAGTCGTATGCTGCAGGAGGAGGCAGATAAGGCCTCTCTAAAGGGATAGTTACATGTTTTGACGCCAAAAACGCGCCCAAACCCAAGCTTTGGATTTTATACAGGAATCCTATATAGCGGTTAATTAGGGGTGGTCTAATCAAACCTGCGACCCTAATCCTGAACCCTAAACCCTACAACCCAAATCCTCAGCCCTAAACCCTAAGCCCTGAACCCTAAACCCCAAATCCCAAACCCTACATGCTGAACCCTCAACCCCAAACTGTTGCTTGGGGGAGGGTACCTCCCCAGCAGCTGCTGCGATCAGGTCCTTCCAGCTGCGCCTACAGGGGAGAAAGCCGCACAAGGTTTGGAGGGTAGTGGGGGGTTAGGTTTCAGGGTCTAGGGGGGTAGCATGGGTGGGAGATTGGCGGAGGGCTTCAGAGAGAGGGTCGGGATTGGTGACTGGGTGTGGGGTTTAGATGAGGAGCATTCGCAACAAAGGCTCGGCAGAACTGCACATTCAGGCAGGGTGGTATGCATGGCAGAACCTATGGTCTCCTCAGCTGCTGTACGACCTTTTGTGGGATGGAAATTCGTGCCCACGTACGGATTAAGTTGTGAGGGTGTCTCTAGAGCAGGCAGCAAACATGAATGAGTGAGGTCTCGGCGAGATATCAGCCATGCTCTGAGACACGCCTCGGCAATCAGACATGAAGGAGAGCTACTTACAGGAGGCTAGTACACTATGGGGCTTCTACGTGGTTTCTATACAATCGTTCTGAGAATCTCACAGCCGCTGATCTCTTGACTTATAGGCACTTATAGGGGTGGTCTAGGGATGATACAGGGTTTAGGGATATGTTCGGAATACTGGAGAACCAAGTGGAACAGAAAATGGATAAGTAAACGAACAATGCCATTTAGTGTTGTTTCAAGGGATCCTCAAGTAAAGGCCCCTGAGAAGACACACCCGGATTTCATGAAGGGCTCGGGGGACTTGGGGCCATGGAGGTTTTCATCCATCGACAGTGCCACCCAAAGAACCCACGCAAAAGAGTACGACTAGTTGTGCTCGAAGGGCCCTCAGAAACAAGAGCAAAGATGAGAAAAGTTTACGTAAGGAACAAACTTTGCTTGCTTCCAACGTGACGGCAAAAACAGACCATCTTCTCTGTGCCAACGTTGCGATCTCCATATCACCCCAAAAACAAGTATCAACTTGCTCTTGATCCGAAAGTCTTACATACAGCCTTTAGTAACATACTTTCCGCACAAGAACTATCTAGCCCTAAACCCTAAACCCTATAAAACCTAAAACCCTCAACCTAAGCCCCCGGGCACTAAATCCGACCCCAAGCCGTTCTACTTTAAGCTCCTAACACCTCTTTCGGGTCTGCTTAGGTACTACCTGGACCTCCCAAGTACCCACAATAGCCTATATACGGTAGCTATAAAGGATAATTAGATGTTATCATTTGTATTTGGTAGGTCTAGGTATGTGTGCCCTGCCACAGGCGTGTCTACTGAAGGGGGCTGCTTGGGTACGAGAGGTTTGGGACCTCAGTCGCTTTGCGATGGCGCGGATCTCGGGATCGCCATGGTCCTGCACTGTCCCCTAGTGATAGTAACAGTAGTAGTCATAATCATAACGATAATAAGAATAATAGCCATAGCAAGAGTACCAGGATTAGAGATGGTAATGGTGATAGATGGTAATAAACTAGTGGTGGAGTTGGCTTCTCTAGCCTCATCTTGAGGAATGGATGTTCGCTCCTGGGTACAGGTTGCCACTAAGTCGGTATCATGTTGAGCAGTTTGGGTGTGGATGCAACGCAGAAGCTGCACGTCAAATCCTGATCAAGGATGCATGGCCTGTCCAATGACTTACTGGCCGTCGGCTACCTGCCCCCATTCCACTTCACATGCCACTTCGGGAAACAGGCCTACCCGCGCGTTTGATTGGAGCAAATCTGCCACATCAGGGGGCACTCCGCCCCAGATCGTCATACGACTTAGTAAATGCCATCTCTGGTTTTACTACCCTGCTCTGAGCTCTATACATGTTCCGCTCCTGGGTTCAAAACCCCGAGATCCAGATTCGGCTTCAGTTTCTCTATGCTTGCTGTTTGCTTAGGACGGGAAGGGCTTCCAGCACAAGATGTTGCTCCCCCGATTCCAGTACGCCCAACGAATCTGCACCGCACAAACCACGGTCAGAAACAGCTACCTCCACCACCGCCACCAGGCCCCTAAACCTTAAAATGCGCTGCTGTTCAGGAACTTAGTATAAATTGCTATTGTGGACACCATGTTCATTACTATGTATATACCCATTATGGTAACTCAAATTAAGTGCCTCAACATCAAACCAGCAAACCCTTCACCAGGGGGCATAACACATGACTCCAGCCGACCGACCCGCGGGTAGCAGAGCATCCTCTCAGATTTCCTGGAATGAGGATCTCCGTGACATGCCTGTTTGGTCTTAATGATCTAAACCCACTGGCTCTCAGTAGGTTATCAGGGAATATAAGCCCTATATAATGTATTTCCATATTCCCTACTAAGACCGAGAAAGTAAAGCTGCAAAATGATGCCGAGGAAGCACCCCACTGTAACCATCCCAGAAGTGTTCAAATGGCTGAGGCAAATCATGCAAATCCAGACCTACTTAGGGTTTAGGGTTTAGAGCCTCAATCCCCCAAAATTTGAAATTCTGGATCTTAGACTCCAAGGCATAAAAGCCCCAGCTGCCCTAACCCCACAACCCTAGAAAATTACACCGCAGGGAATGCCAGCCGGGGCAAGCAAAGGGGGAAAGAAGGCTCGAGAAATGATCACCTCCCCCAAAACCCTAAACCCGCGGTTTAGGGTTTGGGGTTTAGGGTTTAGGGTTTAGGGTAACCCTGAATTATAAACGCATTTGACTGGGCCTAGGCATCTGAATTCCTGAAAGCTCTGACTTGAAGACCTCAACCCATGCCTCCCTTCAAATCAGACATGTCCAAGACAGTCATTGTATGCAAAGGGGGTGGAAAAGGATGGTCGTCAGTGGGAAACAAGAATTTTTAGGAACTCCCCACTTCTGTATGGATCCCGGATATCATCAGCTTCCTTGGGAATGTATGCTCAATGCCGTGTGCCACTTTCCCGTCGCCGATTAGGACTCTACCTAAATGGGGTACTCCCCGTAGCGTGCCGAAAAAATCATCCCGCCCAAAAAGGTCACTCACTTAACAGGCAACGCCGGTAAATCCTTGTACGGCTGAGTGATGATGCCAAGCTGAGTTCGCCTCCCAGAAGGGATTGGTAAGGGGTTACACCAGTACCGCCCAAAGGTAACCTCCCAGGGTTTAAGGAGCTAATAGAGACTATGTAGAAAATCTTCAAGTGGTTCTAAATCGGCGGGAGGAGGGTACTATTATAATCCCTTATTTGGGGGGGCTCTGTAGCTGAGGGCGGGGTATGGAAACTCGAACTTTGATTCGAAGTTGGGTCATTGCCACTTACGTACAGCAACCGTTGCCACGAGGGGCTTGTTGATTCATAGCTAGCCCCTTAGTGAGACCCTCTGAGGACAGTTACTGTGAGAGGGGAACAACTCAAGTTATGAAGAATTACTTTAGAAAATTGCCGGCCTCCAGGCAGTTAAGAGAGCAGTCCAGAAAAAGAGGTCGAGAAAAGATTGGAACTATCTAGTGCTTATGTGCCGCCTCATGACCCTGGACTAAAGTTCTAATATGTTCCTTAGAGGTCCCCCTTATTAACCCCGGATTCATCCCCCTATAGGCCCGGCCCAACCTAACTTTCGTCCATAGCTCACATGACCCTGTTGCCAAACTATACCCCCGAATACCCAGATCTGCCTTAACTCCATCCGAGGGTGCATCCTCCCGAGGACTAAGAATAACCTGAACCCTTTAGAATCCACCTTTTGAGGTCTGTATCCTCCCTTTGTGTGGAGTTTATCCCTTAACATCAGGGTTCCCTGGTCTTCAGCAGCTTCCCTAAACTCTACACTCTAAACTCCAAACTCTGAACTCAACACCCTAAAACCTACTAAGGTTCCCAAAACATCCTCACTTGGCAGGTAAGCTGGCCAAATTCAAAATGTCAGACTACAAAGACCCACCTATGTGCGTGTGGAGCATCTCTGCGGCTACTACAGGGGCCTAAATAATTATCAATGGGTTTAGGGTTTAGGGGTTTAGGGTTTAGGGTTTTGAGGTCCATTTGAGGTACCATATAATTATGCAAGGAATATGGAACCATGATATGGATAATTATTTAAGCCCTTACAGTCCCTCCAGTTAATCCGGGAAGTTCTTCTCCTCCCGTGAGGCTAGAAGGGTCTTCCTTGAGCCCTAAACCACTGGGAGAGGGGAAGCTTAAGCGTCACAAATGCAAAGAAAACCCTTCAGATAATCTGTATGGAACATTCCCATTGTCATGCCTGCAGATTTGGTAGTTTCCAAACGTAGGCGGACCCCAATATGGACCCCAAATACTACAATCGTTATTGTCGGTAACCCCGAGAAGGAAGATCAGTTTAGGTTTTGGGGGTACCCTTGTTGGATCTCTGCCTCAGCAGTTCCACTGTGGCCGGGATTCGCTCAAGCTCCTGCCGGAAGACTTGGACACGGGCCAGGACTAGTCCCTCCCTCTAATATTACAACCTCCCCCTCCCCTAATATTATTCCTCATAAATTACGGTATACCAATGAAAATGTTTCACATAAGGGGGGGGGGTTCTAACATCAGGGGAAGGTGAAAACGCAAGCCCTCTCACAAAGATTGCTACTGCGGATGGAGCAAATCCTTCCTCATACGCTAAGAATCACACTATCATGGGGATCTTAAAATGCAAAATTTCCTCCATCCACCGTACAGACAATCAGGAACTCCAGCGCGCCCTCCAAAAGCTCTGACAGATCTTCTGAAGGAACTGGGGTCAAGCAGGGACCACCAACGGGTCAAACTCCCGTCCCGATAGCAACAGGAAAAAGATGCCCATGACAGATAGCCACACAGGAACTTCCAATGGAAATTTCCAAAGCATATATAAACTACTATACCCCAAATGGAAAGTTTTAAGCATACTTCCTAAGTCCCCCCGACCCTGCAAGTAGTACTACATTTGGGAGACCAGGGGATGATTGGGAGATTCCATTTTTGAATTCTTTAGTGGGTCTGCCTTGAACCCTAAACCTTAAACCCCTAAAACCTACACCCTAAACCCGAAACCCCTAAACCCTAAACCCTAAAAACCTACCCCCTAAACCCTAAACCTAAAAACCTACAACCTAAACCCGAAACCCCCAAACCCCTAAACCCTAAACCCCAGGATGCCACCTGGAGTATTCCCAGCAGCGCCGCTGTGTCGGCCCCAGGTGCCGTCTGTAGCTCCCCGGCCAGTCGGAAGAGTGTGGCCTTTGGGTTGAAAACGGGATTAGAAGTACAATATGAGTGGTATATGTGTATGTATATATATATACACAGAGAGAGAGAGAGAGAGAGAGAGAGATATATATATATATGTATACATATACATATAACGATTGTATAGAAATAGTTAGGGATATAAACGGGAGTTTTCTAGGTGTGTCTATTAAGATTCGCTGAGTAGGGAAGAACGGAGAATCAAATGGAAGATGGAATGGAAACTGGGTAGGTTAGGGTTTCGGGCATTCTGGTTGTTACAGTAGGGTCAGCGTCCTCAGGCGAAGGGGGTATGAAGGAATGCAAAAGCAAATGGAAGCTACTTGCGCGGTTTAGGTTGTAGGGCTTGGAGGCCTGAACCCTAAACCATGAAGCCTGAACCCTGGCCTTGTGGGCTGCGGGGACCCTTCACTATCTCCCAGTGTGGGTATCCCAAGGCCCATGTCACTCCAAATCCGAGTAATTAGGACGATGCGGGGTGCTTATTAAGAGATCCCATGCCAAAACCATAGCTACGGAAACCGCTTGTAGGTTGCACTGAGGCCCAGTTCGGACATCGGCTTCCCAAAGCTTAGTTGGAGGCACATTGGGCCCGCTAGGTACTGAAAGCTGGATTGAGACGCCCGCTAGAATTCCCTTGAGTGGCTTTAAGAAAGCAATAAGTACTTGCTAATCCCTATAGTCCCCTAGACCGTAAACCCTGAGCCCTAAAACCTACTGCCATGATCCTAGACCGAATCTCTCATCCCCCTACCTCACCCTAGGAGTCCAAGTACCCAATAATCATGTACTTCCATAAAACCTGTACTAGACTAGTGGGTGCTTAATAATCTCTTTTGTACTCCCCTTTGTAATCCCCTGTATAACGCCCTTTTAAGGAATTTGGACTATAGCTCATGTAGGTCATATACGGTGGTGCAAAATGCCGTCCATCCACAGTACCTGCTAGGTCTGCTAGGTCATGCCAACCTCGAAGTCTTATTGGTTCTCAGGAGCGAATAAGCGAATATTATCCCTATCTAATTTAATACTTGTACAAAGCATTCCATATTCCCTACTAACCCCCCAGTAGGAAGTAGAGAATTTCCTGGGTGCTCGGCACTGCGGGGGGACATCTGGGGCGCTGCTGGCCCCTGACTCTCCTTCCAAAATCTGGATTTTAGGATTTAGTTTCTTGGGGGTTCTGAGGGGATGGAAAGGGAAAGGCAAGCTAGTAGAGTCGGGGGTTCAGGGCTTGAGATAGGAAACCCTAAACCCTAAACCCTAATTGAGGATTGGATCTCTTGAGCCTGCCTTTTTGTTATCCTTCGTGAAAGTCCCTTTGTCCTACGTCTTGCTTCCTTGCCTGCAGGCCAATGGTGGAAGCTGCTCAAAATGGGGACCCTTGAGGACTTTAGGGTTTAGGATTTAGGGTTTAGGATTTAGGGTCTAGGCTTTAGGGTTTAGGGTTTAGGGTCTAGGGTTGAGGGTGGAAGCTTCGGGGTTTAGGATCTCAGCTGCAAGCGCGTAAGTGGACAGGGATGAATGGAACCGGTTTGCTGGGCAGCATGCACTACAGACATGTAGGGGCTGTCGGTACACAACTTTTCAAGCTCCGGAATTCATAGTACGACCCTTGTGCTACAAGATCTCCTATAGTCACGCAGATCCCGACATTGTGAAGCATGTTGAGGCTGTCTGCGCTTTCAAGCTGGGAGCCTCCGAGATCTGTTATTTTAGAATAATTTCAGAACAACAAAGTAAACAACATTGGGACTCTTTTCCATGTATAAACCGTGAGGTCGTTGTGATTTGAGTAAAGAGAGACTGAGCTCTTCGGCAGTTGAAGACATTCTTTCGATCACAGGCAAATTCCAACATGTCAGGTCGCCAGTGTTTTGCAGAAACCGCAATTGAGAGTTAAGGTTTAAGGCTTAGAATTTAGGATTTACGGCTTACCGAACCTCCCACCCTTTGTCTTCGACTCCAAAAACAAAGCCCTAGACTCCAAATCCGAACAACACACTAAAATCGAACCAAGGCAGGAAATCCTACCGTAAAAAAGATGGTAACCCCAAACTTGAGGACTTTTGCTTTTTCCGTCTCCTCATCAGACTGAAAGCGTGCCACCACGTCCTTTTGAGCTGCAGAAGGGTTCAGCGTGCGGGTCTTTGGGTGTAGGGCTTAGGGCGTAGGGTTTAGGGTTTGGGGTTTATGGTTCAGGGTTTGCAGCTTTGGGTTTGTTTCGCCTCGGGCTAAGTTTCAGGCGTTATGGTCATTCGTAAATGTGGAGAAAGGATCTCGTTTGCGGCCGTGTATGATCCTTTTTCGAGTCCTTACGTAAATCCCATGTTTTGATCCCAACTAACCACTAGTTATCTCGGGGTCTTGCAGGACGTGGACGGATTAGGGCATATGGGCTTCACCTGAACTAGATGCCCTACCTTTTTTTGTGAAAATCATTGGGACACTGTTTCTGGTCAGGATGTTTATTGGGATAAACAAGGGCCACCCACCTGCAGAAAACTCGCATTACTTGGAGGGTCAGGGGGACTTAGTAAGTAGGTTAAGAACCCCTATAACCCATATAGAAACCCCAATTATCCCCATTATTAACCTACTTACTAAGTCCCCCTGACCCTCCAAGTATGGGGTGCAGAAGTGCCTCCTTCGTGAGCTTCTGCGCAGCAGGCTCTCTGGCCATCAGGCAAGCATAGCATGGCTGGCTGTACCTAAACCCCCCAAAGTAGGTAAAAGAATGGCCCAAACCCCTAAATATAGCCCAAAAGACTATTATTCTACATACTTTGGGGGTCCAGGTAATACTCGCTCGCGATGGAGGAAAAGCCGTTAGCGTCCAAAGTTCCCTGGACATCATGTCGGTGAAGATATGCTTCCAGGAGAACCTGTCTGCGATCCTTGTCCGCAGCACTGGAGATCAGTCTTGGAGATGACTTCCCCCACGTTTTCGTAGCTGGACGAAGCATGGAGCCTGGCCCTCCCCGCATGAATGCCACTTCGGCCCCGAATGCCATGCCATCCCAAGGTTGCTGCAAATACTTCAGCTCAAAAGGACAGCTCCAGTCTGCCCAACCTCCGAAGACGAGCGCAGATCCATGTTGTTCCATGGAAGTCTTCAGTCTCCCCCAGTCAATGCCGAGCTTCTCAAAGCTGTTGTGATCCAATTGCTTGAAGAGTCGACACGAGGAATGGCGTCCAGTGCCATGACGAAGTTCTGGAGCTTCTTCGTAAATTCAACTTCAGCAAAGCTAGGCTAGTGCATGCGTATGTAGCTAGTCTGAACTCCAAATTGTAGACCGCTTGGTATTAACACCACAAATACACACTGCCAGGGCGTAACATTCTGTAAAGCTAGTATTGATCAAAAAGGTCATAAAGACCCGAGCCCCGAATTAACACGCAAACCCTAGCCCATGAATACTAGGTTGTAAGCCTCTGACTTTTAGTTGTCCAATTCCTTTTCCACTGATTCTTGGCATAAATCCTACAAAAAAACCCTAATCCACAAGCCCTTAATCCTGAACCCTAAACAACCCTAAACACAAGCCCCTCCCCCTCAACTCCAGCCCCTATTGTACTTGTTCTATATCCTTCCTTGTCCCCTGGATGATCGTGTGGGTAGTATTGTTCGGGCGAGCTTGGGGACGGGGAATAAGGGGCGAGGCTGTTTACGATCCCGTAATACTACATCCCGGCCCGACATAGCCCTGTATGTAGTAATCTCCATAAACCATAAGTTTCCATTTGATTTTTCAGTTCATTTGCCATTTGATGCTTCGTTAAAGAAGATTATATCCCTGAATCCTGTTTAGTCCATATATATATATATATATATCGTCCTATAGAGTCCCTGAATAACCCTGTCTAGTCCCTTTGCATCCCTAGGTAATGCCAATACATCCTTAGAGGATGTTTATGCAAGCCTACATAACCCCTATAAACCCAATACATCCCAATATATGCCCTGTGATCCCTACATCATCCTGTAATATCATCCCTGTCTCCCAAGCCCTATAATCCCTATATAACCATACAACCCCTATATATGGTGTATATATATATATAATCCCTACATACTCCCTGCACAATCTGCATATAACCCTACATTCCCTGTACCCTAAACCCTGAATCCCTGGATCCCAATATATCCCTATATGAGCCCTACATATACATATACGTATATTAATATACACACACATATATATATATACATCTATGCATGTATCCTTATATAAGCCTACATCTCTCTATACATCCACTAAGTATCCCTTTCTATACATATCCAGGCCAGGTCCTTCAGCTTGCCAGACTTGGCACGCCGATCTGCAGCCCGCTGCGCGCGCTCAATTTTGCGGCGCTGGGCCTGTCGGTGCCAGAATGGGCTGTTAGACTCGGTAGGTGTTTGGGGGTTTATGGTTTAGGGTTTAGGGTTTGTGGTTTAGGAGTCGGGGTTTAGGGCTTGCGGTTTAGGGCTTGGGGTTTAGAGTTTATGGAAAAGGCTATTTGACTGCTGTTTTTTTAGGGATAAATAGAATAGAAATAGTCCAAACAACAAGAAGAGAGAATCAAATGGACAAGGAAATGGAAACTGGGATGATGTAGAGGTTTACCGAAATTAGGGTGTTTAGAATCGGGGTGCCACTTTTGGGGGTCTGCACCATAAGGATTATAGTATATTGGGGTCGAAATTGGAGTCACGGAAACTGCCTACACGAAACAGAGGAAGGGTAGGTTCAGGGGCTTATAGGACCTATTAGACTATACTGCTGTGGAAGTAATCCAGTTGGGCTTTTTGGGTTCATGGGAGGTTCTTCATGAGGCATACAAGGCTCATTTAAGCCTGACCATCCGGAATTGTCTTGGGACAACGTGATGACGAAGAAGAAGATGATGAAGACGACAATGGGGATAGGCTGTATGGAAGACACCACTTCAGATCCCCACAGTATAAGGTGTATAAGCTATGGTGGTGCATGTTTCCTCTAGGCCAAACAGAATTCATACAAACACGCAGATAACGATTTCATGACTGCGGTGTTAATAGTCGGAAACAGCGGGCCGAGGCTAGAAACGGAGAAGTGAACACCAGTAGCAACTCTGATAACAATATGTATGGCAGCATGGCTATTCCGATATGTACTGCCATTACGATGACAGCTACTTCTGTTTGTTCCTATGAGTTCGCGGTTACTTTAACTATGTCTCCTTCGTAGGGATCGAGTGTTCGAGGCCTATTCTTATAATTGGGGTGGGTTTAAAGGCGTAGCGTTTAGGTTTGACGGTCAATGATTCAGGGCTTGGGCCACCCTAAGCCCTAAACCCTAGGCTGCAACGCATGGGCTTTGGAGGGGGGCCCCAATAAGACCCCAACATAATATAGTCCTTATTGTAGGGACCCCTAGAAGGCTACCCCTAATTTTGGGAAGACCCCATACCTCATACGAGACCTTACCCACCCAAACCTTCAAGCCAGGCCCAAAATGTCAGGGTTCAACCCTAAGCCCTCAATCTCTAGACCCATATCTAAAGCCTAAGCCTGAATCCTTATGAGCCGTAATCTAAACTCCCAGTATCCCCCCTGGTAAGCCCTAAACCCTAAACCCTAAACATTATTCCCCTAAAGCAGGGCCTCTTCATCATCCTCAATCTCTGCCTCCTCATCACTGCTAAGCCGGGAGCCACGCGTCTGCCATTTCCCGCCTCTCTCTTAGGGCTTAAGGGAATTCAATCATAAATAAGGACTTGGGGCTTAGGGTTGGTTTAGTGTTTAGGGTTTTGGGTGAAATATGCAGAGGAAGGGAATTCAGTCATCAATAAAGGTTTCGGGCGTAGGATTCCATATACATAGGGCTATCACAATAATGGAGAATCAAACTGAAAAGAAACTGGGTTTTATGTGAGCTATAGTCTAAACTCCTAGTATCCCCCTTAAGAACCCCTATAATACTCCCCTATATAATTCCCTAGATAATCCCCTTTAAGGAGTTTAGACTACAACTCATGTGGGGTTATACAACTCACCTCTGCTCAGCAGAGAAACAACGGACCGGAAAGAACATGGAAACTACAATTTAGGGTTTAAGGCCTAGGAATGGAAATCCAATGGAAACTACTGTATTTGGGGTGAGTTCTATAGGGGGACAGATACAAGGATCCACTCCTTCATTCTGTGCTAGCAAGAAGTGATTTACTGGTGCTTAAGGGAGAGCTTGGGAGTGTGAAACAAAATCGAGACGACTCGATCATGTAGGGTTTAGAGCTAGGGTTTAGGGCTGAAAGGTTGCTGTGTAGGACTCAGGGTTTCGGGTTGAGGGTTTCGGTGCTTAACGGAGAGTGGGGTAGTGGATCTCTACAAAGATCGATCCGCAGAATCCCCTACAGCCCCCCATTTTCACTTCACCACTCCCTTACGCACCGTCAAGCTCTTCGATAAATATCAAACACCTGCTTGCTCTTGGAGCTTGTGTAGATCAGGTTCAAGCAGCATGGGTTCCCTATACTTACCCCCCGCGTTTCCCCCTTCATCGGCCCTTCTTGTCCCTGAATAAGTTTAATCATGCAGGAATGTAGGGGCGTTGTATAGTTAGATGAATAAGGAAACCTATAAAGTAGTAGGGTTTCTAGCTCGGGAGCTGACTGCCCCGGGCCTGTGCTTGCCGGAAACATGCAAAGATTGCCAAAGGATCACGAGAGGATCCCCTCTGAGGATTCTGTCAAGGACATGTTGAAAAACTCCCTATACATGAGCCATAGTCTACACTCCTAGTATCCCCCTTAATAACCCCTATGCAGTCCCCTATATAATCCCCTACACAAAACCCCTTTCAGGAGTTTAGATAATGGCTCAAATAACCCTAAACCCTGAACGCGTCAACGGGCCTAGAGGAATCTTTCGGATTCAGACGTTGCTGCTTTGGGTTTAAACCTCAGGGTCTGCCCAATGAAGCCCTCCCCATGCCCCAGCTTTTTCTGGGCTGCTGTTGAGGAACCTTTTAAACTACTATAATAAGGAAACCCCATCATTTACTGTATACCCATCATATGGTAACTTAAATTAAGTTCCTTAGCGGCAACCCAGTTTTCCTGTAACGGTTTTCAGGGTTGAGGGTTGCGCATTTACGGGTTGGATATTCCCGCGTAGACACTCAAGCAACGTGTCAGTCGCGGATATACGAAAAACATCCCAAAAATAATCTGACACTGCCACCCAGCCATTCTGAAAAAATTGCATGAAACCGAGAAGCCCCATATGATCGCGAGTAGTACAGTAGCTTCCACTTTCTTGTCGATTCCCTAAACCCTGAACGCCAGATGGTAGTACTATGCCCTACGAAATCAAAACACGCATAGCAACCTATAATCCCAGTCTCCATTGAACTCTCTACTTTCTTTTGCATTTGATTCTACATTCTCGGGGTAAAACATCACTATGCACTATCCCTACATAACCTATTATATAATCCCTACGGACATACTCCCTATGCAACCCTTTAATCCCTATATAATCCCAATAGAACCCCTATTCTAACCCCTGTATGCATGGATTTCCGCCTCGCTGCGTCCAGTGGGGCGCCAGGGCCTTCTCTCCCGCTTCTGCCTCGTCACTTGGCAGCAACGGCAGCTCACGGGCCTGTGAAGCTCCTTCTGCAACCTCGTCGGTCTCAGTGGTTTCTGCAGCCACCTGTGGTGGAGGTGGTGCGGCCCCGGGGCCCCCTGCATCACTGACTTCCTCAAGCTTTGGCTGGGGCGTTGGGATTGGTTCTGGCGCTGCCTCCGATGACGCTGATGGCTCGGGAGCAGCCGTGCCTGCCGGTAGCTCGGGTTCCTCAAATGCCTGGGCTGCTGGCTCGGCCTCGGCCTCAATGCTTGCCTCCTGCAAAGTCTCTACCTGCACTTGAACATCTGGCCATTTAGGCATTTCGGCTGGTGGCTCTTCTTGCAACGGTTCCTCTGGGGGAGGCTGCTCTCTAGGTAGCTCTTCTGGCAGAGGTTCCTCTGGCTGCTCTGGAGTTTGGGCAGCCGCTGGCTGCACCTCCGTTGCAGGCACCTGCCCAAAGCGAAAAGCAAAATCAAGGCTTTGTGATGGCACTTTCTGAGGCCAGGAGCAATTCAAATACCTGCTGCCTTGCGATTGGTTGAGAAGCACAGCTATAGCAGTTTCCATTTTCTTCTCCATTATCCCAAGATAACCCCAATGTACTATGGTAGTTTCCATTTTCTTCTCTATTATCCCAATACTAGCCCAATATACTAAAACAGTATTATCTTTTTGATCACAAGAAACAGCGCCTCTTCACCTTCCGGCTTCTGCGCAACCGCAGCTTCAGCCTGCATGCATGTGTCAGGCTTCCCACAAGTCACCACCTCACACTGACAGGCAAGTCTAGGGTTCCTGCAGCAGGGATATCTCAAAGTTGGTAGTGTCTTTTTGGGGGTCCCCATAAATTCGATTATGACATTTGGGGATCAAGGTTGGGATGCCCTGGTTTTGGGAAACTACCCTGCAGGAAGTGTGACCATTTCTGTACGTCAGTCCCTGGATGTGGAATTGATCTAAACATGGTCCCTGATCATAAAACATCAGGGTTTAGGGCTTAGACCTAACAGCTATCCCAATGTGGAGGCCTGAATGATTGCAAATTTCGCTCTCAAGTCTATTTGAGCTACCCGATACCAAAGACATAATACAGGACCATCATATTGAAAATTGGTCAGGCTTCTGCATTACATATTCCTATAAACCCCTATGAAGACCCAGTTCGCACTTCTTTTTCCATGCCCATGTCCATTTGGTTCTCCATCATTGCCACAAAGCTGATTCTTGTTTAGGCCCTTAACCCTTAACCCTAAACCCTAAGGCCTGAACCATAACCCTAGACCCTAAGCCTGTATTACACTCAGGACATGGATGCCAAGAACAGGTTGCGAATAGCGTACTTACAGATCCTGGGTACCGCCCCTGCCCCCTGGGCTTAGGGTTTAGGGCATAATACCGCGCGGTCCCTCCGTAACCTGTAACCCCTCCCGTCCCATTTACTATTCCTAAACACCACAAGATGCTACAGAAACTTGATCTAGTCCCGCCGACAGAGGTCTATCTGCGCCTCCAACACTACAATCCCTGTCGCCAAGATCTGAAGCTCAGAAACCCTAAAGGATGCCAAAAATGGAACCCCAAAAATAACACCCGTTACTAGATTGGGGAAACTAGGGGATTATTTAGAGGTTCCTTTTAGTGGTTCAGGGCTTAGGGTGTCACCTACACCGACGCTTCAAGGTGACCATTTGAAGGTCCATGGGACTTAACTATTCATGACGGGGCTTGCAACCCACCTTATAATGAGGGGATGCCCTATGAGGTAAGTGAGGGGAATTTCACGTAGGAATATCAGTTTCTGTAAAATCTCACGAACATCCAGGTCGATGGAGCACCTGTCTGCCTGGGCAGAAATCCCCTCAAGTATTTCGAGAAAAGTGGCCATGACAAGAAGAGTAATAACTATGGAGACCAAAGACTTGCGACAACCAAAAGTGCGCAACCCCAAATACAAGCAACCGTGTCCAAAAGAATCCGTCTGAATTTTCTAATTTCGCAACGCCCAAACCTCTGGCCCTAAACCCAAGGTACCAAGTCCCAAAGCCCAAACCCAACTAAGTACCCTTCACCCTTCACCCTCAACCCCGTGAACTAATCAATCCCTAGACCCCAAACCCTCATACCTAAACCTAAACCCTGCAACCCCAAACCCTAAACAATACACCCCAAGCCCTAAACCCCCAACCCTAAACCCTAAATTACAAACCCTAAATCCTCAACCCCAAACCCTAAACCCTTGGCCACGATGGTTCTGGGGCTCCCGCAGCAGAGGCCTGCGGTCTTGGATCCGGCGGTGACAAAGCCTCCGCTGCTTCAGCCACCTGTTTGCGGTGCACTGGGGCTTTGGGGTTCAGGGTGTCTTAAGCTTGGTTTGGGGTGTAGGGATTTCAGATCTAGAATTTGGGGCTTAGAGTTTAGGACCTACGGAAGTTGCATAAGTAGGGCTCAGGGTTCACAAAATGACCCCTTTGGGTCTTGGCTTTCGCGCTCCCATCCTGGGCCCCATGCAAGTTACATTAAAGGTAAAACCCTAAACCCTAAATAGTAGTTTCCATTTTCTTTTCCATTATCCCTATATAACCCCTATATAACCCCAATATCACCCCAATATATCCCCAATATAACCCCA